TACGTATTTTATCGGCAGTTGGTGCGCATTGCATTGTTTATTTCGCATTGTTCGCTTGATTGTTTAAAGCAGCTTAATCAGCATGTGAACGCTCGGCCGCGTATTTGTCTCAGATTCGGTATTTCGCAAATACCGTATTTCATAAATACGAGGTCTCGTGTGAACGAGGCTATTGTCTGCAAAGTGCCACATGATTGACACTAGCATGCGTGCGTGTTAAAACACATATAAGTTGATCTAGCCTGATAACGATATCCAAGGTCCGCTCCCCCGGTTGATTCCGCCGTCGACGGACGTTAACGATTGCTAACGAGCTGTAACGATGTTAACGAGCGCGCTCGTTTTGCAGGTATCGGAGCGCTGATCATGCTCACGGGCATTCCTGTCTATTTCATCTTCGTCAAGATAACGAAACCCCTCGTCATCCGCAACCTCATCGGTGAGTAGTTCCGGCCGCGCCCCCTTGCAGTGTTGGTGGCGCCCCCTTGCAGTGTAGGTGGCGCCCTCTTGCAGTGTTGGTGGCGCCCCCTTGCAGTGTTGGTGGCGCCCTCTTGCAGTGTTGGTGGCGCCGCCTTGCAGTGTTGGTGGCGCCCCCTTGCAGTGTTGGTGGCGCCCCCTTGCAGTGTTGGTGGCGCCCTCTTGCAGTGTTGGTGGCGTCGCCTCGCGGTGTTGGTGGCGCCCCCTCGCCAATGACAGTCACGGTAGCGTGTGGTTATTAGCGTAGCGGTTGTGTCGAAACGATCTAATGCAGCACTTATGTTGCTTACCATTGCTGACGGCCACGCCATTTCATTGCTCAAAATATTTTGCCCAACTCATTAGAAAAACTGTTCTAAGGCAGTTGTTCATAATAATAATAACAATAATAATAATAACAATTAAAAAAAAATTATTGTATTTTAATAGTAAGAATATGGCGATTGCTAACTAGTTGCTATTGCGTTATCAACCTAATTCATATCCTGTATTATGATTAGTAGCTCTAATAATCAAGCGTATCAATTAACAACCACGGATTTCCGTTGCAGATGGAATCACCAAGGCGTTGCAGAAGGTGATGGTTGTACTGCCAGAGGACAAGAAAACGAAATAGGGACGGCTGAATCGCACATTGACAAATTTCCTCCTTTTTTCTCAATAAGCATAATTTCTCTCCGAGTTGGTGGGCACGCGTAATATTGGATGTTTGTACGCCGTATGTATTTAGTGTATATATATATATATATATATATATGCTGTGTAGTATACTAGCTCAGATATCTGTATCCTATTTCTCTGATCCTATCTGAGCAGCAATAAACAGTTTTAGCGAAAACTATGGCCCCGCCCCCTTCGTGTCTGACTGACAGTGCATCGTCGCCGTTTTGCGCCCATAGAGCGCGCTGCGCGTAATCGTATAAGCACCTCGCGCGCACGCGCGGCTCTGACGTTGTTTTCGTTGTTCTCCTGCAGGGGTTGCTGTCGCTGTTGTATCTCGGCTCGTCGGAGATCTACGCTCTCATCAACTACGTGAGCTTCGTCTGCTGGCTCGCCATCGGCCTCGCCGTATTCTCCGTGCTCTGGTTCCGCTGGAAGTGGCCAGACGCACCGCGACCAATCAAGGTGCGCGTGCTGCTCGCGGGGGAGGGGGCCGGGCCTGACGGGGGGGGGGGTGCTACAACTCCCAACGATTATATCTGTCGATTTATATCTGAACATACATAATCTTACAGTACATCTGTGGTTGGAATGTCGGTTTTTTACTAAAAACGCTCATGATACTGCTTTTGTAAGAAACCTAAAATAATCACCTGAATCTTAATCTAAAATGTGTTATCGTATTTTTAAAAAAACGTGTAAAATGTGTTCGCCCGTAGGTACCGTTGCTCAATATTGAGTTGAAATTGCGACTAAAGTGCCGTAGAACTAGCTGCGTGTGTTAATAAGCTCCTTCTAGATCCGACACCTGTGTGTAAAAGATACCTTTGGGCATATCCGCTGTGTGGTAGTTATACAGTGAAGCCATTTCAATAGAACGAATATCCGTCTATAAATATCAATTTTGGCATTTCCCATGATTGACTCTTAGATATAGGATTCGTATGATTTGATATTATATTATATATTTTCGTCGGATTTGACTGTATATCGATATGACTGGGTCTTTCGGTTCTCACCAAACACCGCTGTTATTAGGTCAGTGTCCACGTTGTCTTTGTGTGATGTTCGTGGATTTGATGATCGTTCGTTGTTCTTCAGGTGAACATCATCTGGCCGATCCTCTACACGTTAGGTTCCATCTTCCTGGTTGTTCTGCCGGCCATAGCTGAGCCCAAGGACACAGGTACATACTCCACAATGTCCCCACCTCGCGTCACTCCCATGCACGCACACGCACACACACATGCACGCACACACGCACGTACGCACACACACATGCACGCACACACGCACGCACGCACGCACGCATGCACGCACACACGCATGCACCCACGCACGCACGCACACGCAGTGTGGCAGTGGTTAACAAATCTTGCGTTTACTCCCGTTTGGGAAGATTCCCGGTCGTGTCACAGCGAGAGCGAAAACTTTTCTCTCAAGGTCGATGCAGGCGAATAGGTCAGTTTGCTGTCAGCATCCCTCCCTGGAATGATTGAGAGGCAGCTCTAGCCAATCACTCATTGCAATAGAGGAGTGTTCTAAAAATGCTTATTAGCCGCGTTCACACGTAGCAAGAAATCCGGTATTTAGCGTTCACACGAGGCAAAATGCGC